GGCAGCTTGTGCGCCAGTTTAAAAAAAAACAGGAAAAGATCTGCTCTAGGCTTTTAAAAAAAGCCTCCTATTTTATAAGATTTTCTCTGTTAACCTATAAGTTCATTTCTGGTGCTATTTCTAGTCCATATTGTGTTTCAAGGACAGAACAAAATTTCATAACATGCTGGGGGGAAGCAGTTTATGATATCTTTCATCACAAAAAGTAGCTCTGATGAAAAAGTGGTGACCTATGGGCTCTCTCAGTCAGTGGTCTGCCAATATACAACACTTTTGTATGTTCACCTTTTTGTCCTACTAACAAGGCAATAATGTTATAAAAACAAGACTGGGAGACTCTCCTACTTAATCAAAAATGAAATAGTTGGTCATTCTGACAAGACACTGACCTTCATCTGTTGCAAGTGTTCCAACTAGAAAACAGGTGAAGGGCTTTGTTCTACTTTGCTTAGCATGACGATGGGCAAGTCGCAGAATTTTTTCAGTCACAAGTAACTTAGGGTTCCTGAAGAGGGAAAGGGGAAAATAAGGGAAACCTTAAGAAGAAAAAGAGCATCAAGGAAACAATTCTCCTTCAATTACCTCCATGTACATCTTTTTAGTTCATAGCCTAATCATCACTGAAAATAAACTTGACTTCACTACACAGAAAATGACTGCATGGACAGCGGATGTTTCCCACACTACATTCACCTCAGCAGTCCTTCTTGAGCCTGGTTTATTTCTATGATAACAGAGGCCACATAGTGCATGGGGAGAATGCCAAAGAAAAACTTTAACCAACAGCACTATCTTAAATTTTACAGTCTCATACCTATGACAACTTAGGTGGGCCCCAATGCTTTCTCCAATAGGTGCTGGATTCCAGAGTGCACATTTTGATGGAGGAAAGCTGAAGGGTACCATTTCCCCCAAAACAACTCTGAAAGAAAAAAAAATCACATGTCTAGTCCATTTTATTTGTGATAGATGAAGGTTAACAGTTTCCAATTTAAATCATACAATGTTTTCTCAAGCAAAAGGGCAGAATTTTCCTTTATGACAGAAAAGGCAGACCATTCTTTATTTTTATTATAGTTATGTGTACCCCCCACACCACTTAAAAACCAACAAAACAGGCATGTACTTTCTCATACTCTCTCTTTTAGGAATAGTACCGACAAAAAAATTATTACAACTCTAAAACTACCAAGTTGGTCTAAATTTGTACTAGCAACAGCATTCATTAGTTCTATTCATTTTATGAAACATTGAATATTTAAAATTGGCAAGTTTTCCATGGAAGAATAAAGACCTAGAAAATTCCTCACACATTTCTAGTAACCCTGAAAATAAACATTACAAAGCAATAGAAAAATAATACTTTTTCAACAGTTATTTGTTGAAATTTTTCTTCTCATCTTTAATATGTTAATTTGGTCAATAACAAAAATACTATTAAATATGGTATTTCTAAGGATTCCAGTATCTAAGGATTCCAGTAATGTGACACAAAGTTTAGCTAATGTGGTGGTGGGGAATCAAGACCCAACAGTACCTTTTAAGCATGTCTGATGTACCATTTGTTGATTAAAAGGGGTATCATAATGATGCCTCTGGCTAGCTCCAAGGTGTCTTAATAAAAACAAAAGAACCAGGTTTGATTCCCCACTACTCCACTTGCACCTGGCTGAATGACCTTGGGCAAGCCGTGGTTCTGATAAGAGCTGTTCTTGAAAAAGAGCAGCTTTTGTCAAGAGCTCTCTCAGCCCCAACCTACCTCATAGGGTGTCTGTTGTGGGGAGGGGAAGGGAAAGGAGTTTGTAAGCCACTCTGAGACACCTTTGGGTAGTGAAAGGCGGGGTATAAATCCAATCTCTTCTTCTTCTACAAGTACTAACAAATATGGATAACTGCATTTGTTCAGGTGAACACAAGTTACCATTCTCCAGAACCAAGTTTATGCTTCCCACAATTCCAATTTCCTTATGCTTGTAAATCAACAGACTTGTATTAGAAATATACCCATATTTTTGATAGAGAGTTCAAACCACATTCTAATTTTATTATCAGAACAGAGATGGCCTTTTTTCCCTACTAAGCACACCCAAAAAATATTCAACACACAATTTGAATCTGAAAACTTATACTAGAGAAAAACAGAGAAAGTGAGCTAAGAAATCTGATAGCATTGACTATACAATGTGACAAATCTGAACTTAATTTACAGCAGAGTGCAGCTCTGAACCTGGCTTTCGTAAATCCAAAATCAGCCACTACTACATTTTGCATTGGAGAGAGCTGTAGAGATGTAGAATTACCTACTACCTGTTGAATATCTACCCGATGCAGCTGTCAAAGGAGATAAACCCTGACAGAAGAACGGGAATATCTATTTGCATAGTTTAGCAAACGCCTATCTCTTTGCACTTTTTTAGGCGGGGGAAGGGAGAAATCTTCCTTCTTCTCTGCAATAAGAAGTCATTAATATCGATTAAGAACCTAATAATGAACGACAGGACACCCGGGACAGAGTCCTGCGGGAGTGATACAAAGGAACAAAGTTTAGCTATATGGACAGACACTCGCGAGAGAAAACCCGCCCGGGAGAGGGGGAACAGCGGCTCCCGAAACTTACCTCACTGCTTCCCTTCAGAAGCCCGTTTCCATGAAGGGACTGCGAACTCACAACTGAATTCCTACCACTCCCTACACTGGCGGCTCCAATGGCGGCACTGTCAACCAATGAGGACTCCACCCGACCGCTAGTCAGCGAGCCAATCGCAAGCTCAATATTGTCTTCCGCCTATCGTCATCCCTCAATGCCTTACGTCTAGCCAATCACTACGGCCGTACGCGACCAGGTTTTTCCGTAACCAATCACGTTCCCTGTGAAACAACGGGCCCCTAAGCGCGCGCGAAGCTGTTGTGGGAGGGATATTTAAAAACATGGGTTATTTTAAACGGTCGTAGTAAAGGAGCTGTTGCGCAAACGCCAAGGGGGTGGAGCGAGAACTGTGGAATTTGTGTTGCCACAGTAACGGCAGGTTATGTTTCGACTGTAACCATGAATATCCAAGCTAGAATAAACATAGTTAGTATCGTGCTGCTAAAGGTCGATTCAAGTTTGCATCCCAGTCCCACACATACTCTAAACAGAGTTCCACTAAATTTTAGGGGACGGTCCCAGATAAGAGTGTCCCATAAGTGTGTCCTATGCAGGGCTTTTTTCTTCTTGAAAAAGGTGCCGGAACTCTCAAGAGGAAATGAAGGGGAAACAAACAGGATTCTTTCAAATAATATCATCAACTTTTAAACGTTTTTTGAAACTTTTACTTCCACTAAGAGATTCCAGAACTCCGTTCCACCGCATTCCCTAGGGTTGCCAGCCTCCAGGTGGGGCCTGGGGATCTCCCACTTTTTCAACTGATCTCCAGCTGAGAGATCAGCTCCCCTGGAGAAAATGGCTGCTTTGAAGCGTGGACTTTATGGCATTGTACCGTGCTGAGGCCCCTCCTCTCTCCAAACCCCGTCCTCTCCTAGATCCACCTCCAAAGTCTCCAGGTATTTTCTAACCCAGACCTGGCAACCCTAGCATTCCCCCATAAAAAGCCCTAGTCCAATGGACCTAACTCTGCAAAAAGTCAGCTAATCCAACTAGCCATACACCACATTCCAATGCAGAATTGCAAGATTGGCTAAAGGGTTACCTTTGTGGAAAGCAGGAGAGTGGGAACCTTTCTGATCTCCTCAGTCAGGTCATTCCAAAAGGTGAAGAAGGCAAGTGTAGAGGCAAAGGCCCTGTCTGGATGAGCAAAGCTGTCAGGGCAGAGCATAGGGGGAGACACTTTCTTGCAGATATAAGGGTCCAAGGCCATGAAGGGCTGTGTATGTGATAGCCAGTAGTTTAAATTGAGTTTGGTAACTGATGGGCAGCCAGTGGAGTGACTGTAGGAGTAATATGCATGCTCCACCGTCTAGCTCCCAATAACAGCCAAGGTGCAGCATTGTGCACCAACTAGAGTGTTTGAATTGATTTTGAGGGGAAACCAATATACAGTGCACTGTTTATTTATTTAATTCATTTATACCCCACCTATCCACTGGGGACCAAGATGGCTTACATCATTCTCCTCGCCTCTATTTTATCCTCATAACAACCCTGTGAGGTAGGTTAGGCTGAGACAGTGTGACTGGCCCAGAGACACCCAGTAAGCTACCATGACAATGATGGCAGTAGTGGGAATTCGAATTTAAGTCTCCCAGATACTAATCTTAACCACTACACTGCAAAGTAGTCTAGTCTCCAATGTCACCACGGCATGGATCTAGGTGACCAGATCAGCCTTCTCTAGGTAAGGGGCCATTTTTCAAGCTAGGCTGAATTTGCAACTACATTAACTTGCTTCTCCACGAATAATGCTGGGTTTGGTATAAAGAGGCTCTTAGCTGAGTCACAAGGGTCAGCTGAACCCCACTGAAAGTGGATAGCATAATGTCTTTCAAGACCTCTGCCTTCCTAAACAGCATTACATCTGCCTTGCCAGAGTTTAGTTTAGATACGATTTCTGAATTTAAATAAGAATAGTCATCACCAGTGAACAGAGACCGCAGATAGCTGTGTTAGTCAAAAACAACATCCCCAAACAAAAGTAATGCAATACCTTATGCATTAGGACCAACCAAAGTGAAACAGAACAACCTGCGGACTTTGTTCTCCACAACTTTTCACCAGGTCATCAGAACGCACGAATTAAAAGTAAATCACTACTTTAGTTGCAGGGAGATGGTAAGTTATACCTAACAGATCTCCTCCTTAATTCTGTAGACGCAGCCCGTTAACGTAGTAGGACCTCTACCCTCCTTCTCCACCTTTCTGTACCGCTGAACAACATTTCCCCCTCCGCAAGCTCGGGTGCGTCCTACAGGACTGCAGGGCTTAGCCCCGCCCCTCTTCTCCTCGCCCGCCATCGCTCTGTTCCTTCCCCAGTCAGTAAGAGTGACCGGGTGGGCAGGCGAGAACCCGGAAGCGCTTTCTCTTCCCGGTGACGCCTCAGCCGCCACCTCAGCCGCCACCTCAGCCGGAGAAGCGAAGTGGCTTCGGCGACGGACTGTGGTCGAGCCCCGTTCTTCCGCTTCGGCGCATGTTCTGTCGCTGTCTCTCCTTGGCTACCGCGATTCGGCTTAGACCAGCGTTTGTTCGCCTCGGACCTCTTCTCATCTCTTCTCCCCCTTCTCTTCGCTGCCAGCCGCTCCTCATGAAGCCGGTGGTTGTGTTCGTTCTTGGCGGGCCCGGCGCCGGCAAAGGGACCCAGTGTGCTCGCATTGTGGCGGTAAGAGCCAAGAAAGACACCTCCGCTCTCTTCCCCACCACCACCCGTGCCAACGGGACTACAACTTCTAGCAAGCTGTGCACCTATAAAAATATTTCAAAGTTCATCAGTTTGCGCTCAAAGAGTGATGGGAGTTGTAGTTTGCTAGTCTAGACCATTGTTTAACCTTTTACATTGTCTTGATGTTGAGTTAGTGGGGGTTATGGTGAGGGTCCAAGTTATGTATGGCTTGAAGTCCAGATATTCGTTTAGGTAGTCCTTTGTAAGGATTCAAGTAAGAATAAAACAAGCCCCATAGCTATGGAATTCTTTGGGAGGGGGCTTGGGGGGGGCACCAGCCAATTAAATGAAAGTACAGTGCAGGTGGTAAGTTGGAGCCCTTCGGGGGCAGCCCGGGAGGGAGGGGCCCCAGAAGAAACACTTGGGGGCCAGGCCCCGTGGGCCCCATGTTAGCTACGGGCCAGAGCAAAACCCTATTTGAATTGGATAGGCATGGTGTTTGGATGTGGATTCAGGTAGGCTTGTGGCTTCTGGCACTCTGTATGTTGCGGTGCACATCATGCCAGCATCTAGACTCTCTTGCTTCATGTTCATGAATTGATAGGACCGTTCCAATCAATGACATTAATTTACATAGGCATTAGAGTGCATGTTGAGAAAAGATCATCATTGCTCTGTGTTGGGTATTACAAGTTGAAAACACTCAGTATATCTGGGGTTAAATGTTTGTTTATGTTACTCACAGGAAGTCACATGTTTCTCATGTAACCAATGTTCTTTAGATGTAGCAAGCCCGGGAATTTTCTCCCTGATCTAGGAATTTGATTGGGACTAAGGTGTCAAGGTGTATTACCATTTTATGGCTTCTCTTCCCGTCTTTGTTTGGTGTTCTGAAGAAGAAGAAGAGTAGCCATAATCTCTCTCTTCTAGTTTTGTCTTTGTAGAGTAAGGAAGTAGCCGATTATGCTGTATTGTTATTTTCATCTCAGTTACCCTTCCCATGCTAGAATTTAGTAAGAACTTTATATTTTAATCACACATGGATTCTGAGTCTGAATTATATTACTCTGGCTCTGCTGGACTATCTTATCTCTGCTATATACCATTTTTCAATATCTCACTATCACCCAACACTCTGGAGAAAGCCATATGATTTAGGCTGGCAATGTTGTGTCGAATGTGGATGTTTTGCAAAGTGGATTTTGGATATAGATATAGTACAAGAAAGAAGACCCGCGATACTCACGAGGGGGGGGGGAGCTGCAAACTCAGCAGGCGTAGGAGGAACCAGCAGGAGCAGGTAAGCTCTCCACTCCCCCCATCTCGCCGGTTCCTCCGTCTCCTCCACCCCCCCGGCTCCAAAGCGGCCTCGCCACTCTTCCCCCCCCCCGCC